ATTAATTTGGCTGATTCCCTAAGGTTTCTATAGATATCACGATATATCGATATTGTGAATTCTTTTGGACACAATAACCCAGTGAATTTTGGTTACTGGCCCCCTCATCTGCCGAAACCCAGGATCAAACCGGGAAGTCGTGGCCTAATGGTAGCCACGTAGCCACATGGGACATTTTAAATCTATACATAAATATGTATAGTGTAAACACTGGAAATATAAACATTTTGCTTTGTGGTATATAAAACTACAACGTGTTAATAATTTAATTAGTTTATTGCTCTAGAGATTTAGGAAACCAAACCTTATTTATATTATGTGCTCTCGTGTAGTTACTAATTCGTTAATGAAGATGGGTGTCATAACATTTCTGTGTTTTTTCATTTCTTACTGTTATTTATATTTTAAGAATTTATATTATTTTGTTTCTGTATTGTCTAAACAGATATCTTTTAATATGTTAATACTAAGGCAGAATGAAAAAAAACAAAGATACAAATGTTAACAACAAAAAGACAGACAAAACAGAAACGCATAGAATGTGTGAATTAGCACAAATGTGAGTGCAGTGCTACTGAATGAGCATTTTAAATTGATCTGCTCTTAGTGTTGACACAGTTTCTTTTAAACCCCTTGTGTTGTGTTCAGAACCTTTTCACACTAACGAGGTTACAGAGCAAAAAGGACCCGGCCTCAAAAATTGCTTATAAATCACTCATTATGCTATATTATCACCAAAGATTGGATTCAATCTTTTTGTCAACTTCTTTTCTTTCATTTAGGACTGGTTTTGTATTTATATTTGCTTCTGATTAATCGTAGGCCTCATTTATCTGAAAGTAGGCACCTCATTTTTTGAGTGAAAAAAGCATTATTTATGAATAATTTTCACAACATTAAATAGAAACTGATGAAAATTTGTACTGTTTATCACACTAGTGTACTTTAATGTTTAATCAGGGAGTTTGCTTTTAAATGCTTTTATTTTGTACAAAATGGCACAAAGTCACACTTGTGGTGTTCCAGGGCAAAAATGACCCGGCCTCAAAAAATTGCTTATAAAACACTCATTATGCTATATTATCACCAAATATTGGATTCAATCTTTTTGTCAACTTCTTTTCTTTCATTTAGGACTGGTTTTGTATTTATATTTGCATCTATTTAATCGTAGGCCTCATTTATCTGAAAGTAGGCACCAAATTTTTTGAGTTAAAAAAGCATTATTTATGAATAATTTTCACAATATTAAATAAAAACAGATGAAAATTTGTACTGTTTATCACACTAGTGTACTTTAATGTTTAATCAGGGAGTTTGCTTTTAAATGCTTTTATTTTGTACAAAATGGCACAAAGTCACACTTGTGGTGTTCCCAGGCAAAAATGACCCGGCCTCAAAAAATTGCTTATAAATCACTCATTATGCTATATTATCAACAAAGATTGGATTCAATCTTTTTGTCAACTTATTTTCTTTCATTTAGGACTGGTTTTGTATTTATATTTGCTTCTGATTAATCGTAGGCCTCATTTATCTGAGAGTAGGCACCTCATTTTTTGAGTGAAAAAAGCATTATTTATGGTGACTGCTTTGAACTCCTATTTCGTGCCCCAGGTCAATGCAGCATTCGCCGCAGGAAGGTCCGAGTCTAACACTTGCTCACACAGTGGAACTAGCGTCACAGTGTGAGAGAATTGAAGAGCAGATGTCAGTCATGTCACTGAAACCTGATACGGGTGCAGTTAGAGACAAAAATGAGAAAGGATATAAAGGATAGGCCAGAAACAGACCTGCAGAGAAAAAAGTTGAAACAGTGGATAGGAAATATTACAGATGTGTACACAACGATCGTTTAGGACAAACTTGTCTTCTGTCTCATTAAGTTTTTCACTGAAATGTACACATTTTCTGTTTTGCTAGTTTTCGTGTGGCACTGATTGCAAGTTGAACGGCCTCTGCATATCTGAATCCTTTGTGCTCAGCTTCCTTTATGGTGCTCTCTTTCTCCTCAAGGGTCACCAACTCCAGTGCTCTGCGTACATCTGATCCTTTAACTTGAGGATACATAAGAAGTTCTGCCATGAACGAGTCAGAAAACGATTTCTTAGCCTCACGTCGTGACTCCTCTGCTAAACGCCAGTATATTTTCTGCCATTCTGTTTGAGAGACTCGTTTGTGCTTCTGTTTGAACTGCTTTTCTTTCTCATTGAGTTTCTGCTTCTGAATCTCCTGAATGCATTTCTCTGCTTCCTCAAACATCTCATTTGAAAAGTGTCCATTTTCTGCCATCATGGTCTCTATTTTCCTGATCAGATCTTTGAACTGTGGGAAACTGGCAGACTCGTTGTCCAGACAGAAGAATCGTTTTCCACAACTCTCTACAAGTTCTTTAAGAGCTGGATCACCTTCTTCTAGATATTGCTCAATGGTTTGCTTTTTCTTCTTTAACTGTTTTTTATGAGTGAAGAGGATCACGGAATATTTTTCCATCTGTTCTCCAAACACTTCTTTAAGTTTCTTTACTGTATTTTTCTCTTCCTCAGTGAATCGACCCACTTTAATCACAATAATAAAAGCGTGCGGCCCTGGAGAAGTGAAAGTTATGCATTCCCCTATTTTAGTTTTAATCTCATTTTCACTGAGTTTAGTATCATAAAGTCCAGGAGTGTCAATCACTGATATTTCTTTACCCATCCTCACTGTAGTTTCTGACTGACACTGTTTGGTCTGAGAGGTTGAAGCGGCTGAAGAATCAAACACATTTCTGCCAATGATGGTGTTTCCAGTGGCACTTTTCCCACATCCAGTTTTTCCCAGAAGAACCAGCCTGATCTGGTCTTTCCTCTCAGGAATCACATCAATCTCATTGATTTTATTTTCATCTAAACCACTAGATGGCACAAAAATGTGGTGTATCACTTTCCAAAACATCCGCTTTTCAAGATTTGTCTGATCCTGGGCGCGATCGCGCGCTGCAGCGCAAAGTCGATTCTGTGCTTACTTGATCTAATATGTTATGTTTTTTTAAATGTTGTAGATTTAAGTAGCAAATGAGAATCGCTAAAATTAATGCATATATTTTGCGACAAAGTCTTCTTTAGGATTTTCTGTTTTGTTAAAGATAATTAAAGCAACCGTTTTTAAATAACGAAAGAATATGTAAAAGTATGGTAGTTGGGCTAAAAAGCGCCCCTGCTGTTGGGGCTAAAGGCGCACAGTAATTAACATGATAATTAATAGATGGCTGACTTTTCCATTTGTTGACATGACATGGTTAGATTCAGATGGTAAATATCATATATTATGTTGGGTGTCCATATTAGAGATAATCACCATGTTTAGAATGAAACCATCATTAAAAACAAACATGATATCATATCATATAATAAAATATAATTTGTTGTTACTACTGTAAATATATGTTCAATTATTATTGGATCTCCTTCAATACTTTCAGAATCTTTAATTATTACTTATTTGATTCTGTATTTTAAAATATATATATTTTTTATATTAACATATTTTAATGACAGTATATTTATTGAAAAAAATAAATTTTGTTTTTCAAAATACGCAGAAAATAGTACAAACTTTGCTAAAGTGATTGTTTTTAACAAGTATTAACTTAGACATTATTTAAAAAAAAAACATTATTTTAGCTGAAGTATTTGTATTAATACCATGTGTGGGGTAAAAGGCCCCTTTTGCCACCTCATACATTTATAAGATTTTAAAACAAAATAAACAACTTGAATTATTTATTTTCACACAAAATCTGTTGCTCCATTAATGTTCAATACAACGTATATATTTTTTCTGCAATTATAATTTTTTTCTTAAGGTGGGCTTTTACCCTCTGAAGTCTTCTGAGGTCAGATTTGGTAGCTGAGCTGAA